TTCCTCTTCATCTGTGAAATCTAGAATACAAGTTATCTGCTTCCAAAGGTACAATGGCAGAACAGGCACAAGCTAGACATTTCCATTACAAATGGGAGAAACTGGAAGGAAAGAAGGGATAACAGGCACCAAGCAAGTCAGCAGAACACATTACATTAACCCTCAAGGTTTTGAAAATAATCCTCTGTTCTCTGAGACAATTTACACAAATGGCCCTACCCTCCAGACTCTATGTATTGGCCACACTATCCAGATTCTCGGCTCTGGGCTTCAGCTCCACCTTCCAGACCCGCTGGGACAGCAACTCTGCTCCCTCAGCTTTAGGTGCACCATTCTCCTAGTCCATCTGAGTGGCGACTCCACTCTTAGAAACACCGGAGGCCATGGCTCACCCTTTGAAACCCCTGAGGTCATGGCCATACCTTTTGAGACTGAGGCAGCTTGGCTTCTTGTGTTCCTTGTCACTTCAGCTTCTGCTTCCTGGTTTCTTGGCCTCATGCCCACATCTGCCCTGCTGGGCCAGGTGTTCCAATGCTCTGTAGCTCCACCAGTAAGTGCCCGGAGGCACGCCACTCCTCCAGGAAGCCTCCTGCGCACAGGTACTCAGCTCTGTTGCTCCGTAGGTCGGCAAGCGTACCTCCACCGATAAGTGTCCAGAGGCACCCCACTCCGCCAGGAAGCCTCCTGTGCACGGGCACTCAGCTCTCTCATTCCATGGGTCGGCTTCAGTGCCCTCTCACACTGGTCTCCTGGTTTTGCTGCTGGTGGTTCTCTGCTGCTGCCGCACCTGTATCCATTCACAGTTTCAAAACCGCTTCCACATTTTAGGTATCTGTTAGAACAGCATTCCACTCTCTCAGTACCAAATTCTGGAGTTTCTCAGCACAGGGATCCCAGGTCCAAAGGACACGCTTCACTCTTAGCTCTTCTTGGTGGCAGTGGCTCCTCTTTCTCTGCTTGCTTCTCTCTGCTTTTCTCTCTTGCAGGGCGGTAAAGGGAGGTGACTCAGGATACATCCCATCCTAATCCTGCCTCAGTGACATAACAAACAAAACCTAATCCTCATTAAAAACCCCATTGCCATCAAGTCAATTCTGACTCATAGCAACCCTATAGAACAGAGTAGAAGTACCCCACAGGGTTTCCAAGGACTGCCTGGTAGATTCAAACTGCCAACCGTAACATGACTTAATACTGCCTCATTAACATAATGGACAGCTAACTTCCAAATGGGACCATAATCACAGGCATAGAGGCTAGAATTTACAACACATCACAATATGGAGGATAATCAGATCACAAAATGGAGGACAACCACATAATACTGGGAATCATGGCTTAGCCAAGTTGACATGTATTTTTAGGGGACACAATTCAATCCATGACAGACACTCAGCTAAGAACAAGAAGGGAACACCAGAGGGAAGAGGTGAGGAGAGGCAGTGGCTTCCTCCCAGTGGACTACCCACTCACTCCCAAGATACAACAAGTATTATTTTAACTGCAGCAACTTTAATATACACTATTGGAGCTGAATTTCCCATGGCTACTGACACTAGACTACTACAGAGCAAAAGAGAATGATGTGGTTTAATGATGTATGTGTAAAAGACTTAAGAGTTCTAGACACTTAACAGACTTGGTTGTATAATCGGACTTACAGAAAGGTTTATGTAGACTTTGGCTGCATTAATAATTAATGTGTGTCAGAATAGGACTGTGCTCCATAGGCTTGTCAATGGCTGATTTTTTGGAAGTAGATCTCCAGGTCTTTCTTCTAAGGTGCTTCCGGGTGGAATCAAACCTCGAGTGTTTCAGTTAGCAGCCAAGCACATTAGCCATTTGTGCTACCTAGGGACTCTAGTGTCCACAAAAGGAGGATAATCAGATCATACCTAACATATTGCATTTGATTACATTGACCAGCAGCTGTCTTCCAGAGGAAAGCATAGTCTCAAAAGTGTCATATGTGGAATAATAGAAAGGATTAGTTATTTCTGGTATGAAGAAGAGAGGATTCAGGAAGCTTGCAACCTACTTTCAAATATTTAAAGGGCCATGGTTGGATAGGAAATAGATTTGATTTGTCTTTTTTTTTTACTATAAAGCAGAGAACTAAGATCTGTGGATGGAAAATTAAAAGAAGAAGGTAGCTCAATGTGAAGAATATCATCCCAACAGTTATCAAAGAATGAGACATTTCACCAAAGAGGATATGAAAAGATGCTTAGTGTCATTAGCCATTAAACCTGTTGCCAAAAAGTCGATTCCAACTAATAGTGACCCTATAGGACAGAGTAGAACTGCCCCATAGGGTTTCCAAGGAGTGGCTGGTGGATTCGAACTGCTGACCTTCTGGTTAGCAGCCATGCTCTTAACCACTGCACCACCAGGGCTTCTCATTAGCCCTTAGGGAGATGTCAATCAAAACCACAATGAGATACCACCTCACCCCATCAGAATGACAGTGATCAAAAAATGGAAAGTAGTAAGTGTTGGCAAGGTTGTTAAGAAACTGGAATGCTCGTTTATTGCTGGTTGGAATGTAAACTGGTACAGCTGCTGTGGAAAACATTTTGGCAGTTCCTCAAAAAGTTGTATATAGAACTGTCATATGACCCAGCAAGCCCAATCTTAGGTATACACCAAGAAGTGAAAGCAGGAACACAAACAGAAACCTGTACACCAATACTCATTGCAGCACTTTTCACAATAGCCAAAATGTGGAACCAACCAGAATGTGCATCAACAGATTAATGGATAAACAAAATGTGGTATATACATCCAATGGAATATTACTCAGCCACAAAGAAAAATGAAGTCCTGAAGAATGCCACAACATGGATGAACCTTGAAAACATGCCAAGTGAAATAAGTCAGTTGCCAAAGGACAAACACTGTATGATCTCACTTATATGAAATATACAAATACATAGAAACCAAAAATTATTAGTGGTTACCAGCATGGAAAGAGGGAGTTTTTCTTTAGGGGGCATTGAGTTTACGTTAATGGTGGTGGAATAATTTGGTAAAGGGTAGCGAGAATGGTTGCACAACTTGAAGAATGTAATGAATATCACTGAATTATACATGTAG